AGGTGTTTAAGTGCTGACAGATTTCCAGTCTCGATCTTGCACCATTTGCAGGGGAACAATTCTGCAATTTATTTTGTGCTCGAAGTAGTGAACTATTATAGCAAAAGAATAATATAAACAAAAGGAAAAATAATTTATCAAAGCTGTAATAGACCACAAGACTACATTATATATGTAAATGAAAATGTAGTCATTAATCTATCCTGTTGTGAATTCAAGCTGTAGCCCACAATTTACAGGATGTCATAATTGGGCAAAAAAATTAACCAAATATACAACCAAATTTGCCATTAAAACTCTACATGTGAAGATCAATTAAATATATACAAGCTCTACAAAACCATGCCAAAACATGATTGATTTTCACATCATTTCCTATTGAAAGTGCTTCCAGAACTATATTATGCAGAAAGCTCTAACATATGTACAAAACGGTTTTGCTTAAAAAAATGTTTCTATCATGCATCATTCCTATATTTTGTTATAACATTAAAATCCCCATTGGGAAAATATAATAGTATTGCCAGTGAGAATAATGCAAGCCATCTAGGAGAAACAGTGAGAGAGCTATTTATTATGGAATATGTAAAATAATGATCAAAGCTAGAAAGATGAGCAAAGCAGCATCTGTGCCAAAGTGAACATGGGAGTCCACAAGCAAAGAAATCTTTTTTCATGTTGCAGAAGTTAGGGTGTATCTGACAATGATTGGGCTCTCATAATATGGAGATATGGCACATGATTCTTTATATGTGATGTTACTTGTAGAGTCATAGACACATAGAGCCATTGAGTTATAGAGCATCGAGACAGACACTTCGGTCCAACTCATCCATGCCGACCAGATATTCTAAATTAATCTAGTCCCATTTGCCAGCATTTGGCCCATATCCCTCTAAACACTTCCTATTCATATAACCATTTGAAATCACAAGCTTTCGGAGTGCTGTTCCTTCATCAGGTGAAGTCAGGCTTTGCTTGATGAAGGGACAACGCTCCAAAAGCTTGTGATTTCAAATAAACCTGTTCTACTATAACCTGGTGTCATGTGACCTCTGACCTTGAATATTTTTAAGGCAGCCTTTGATAGATTTAAATGAACGTGAAAGTCAAAGGGTTACAAGGAAGTAGAGTTTGAGACGAACAGCTATGCTCTCATCAAATGGTGGAACAGGCTCATGGGGTCAAATGGCTTATTCCTGCTCTTAATTCTAATGTTTGTAAGACACAATTTAATCTCATGAAACTTTGGTAAATGATTAATGCTCTTAATGTAGGACATGACAAAAAATGGAAACAGTGCAAAAAAATGAGATACATTAGTAATTGTTAAGTGATATTAGGTTTGCCTGTTAACTACAGAAGCAAGGGAGAACGATGGGAAGATTTCTGAGGCCGTCCCAAAGAATGTGTTTTAGAAGGAAACAATGTGATAATTCTTGATTTCAAAAATCAAATTGCTGAGGTAACATTGTCGTGTTGAGTACTAGGAGAATAAAGTTTGTGACATGAAGTGAAGGTTTCATCTACATTCAATTCTTGCTCCATTCAGTTCCTGATCTGGTCTAACACTAATGGAGTTCCCAGTGTCAGTGAAGATTCAGGTGCAGTCAAACCTGAAATTCTCTATTCATTAACAATGGGAAGATGGCTCAGGAAAGTGACAGGATGACTGCCTGCTGTCTCATCAACAAAGTTAAGATGAGTCAAAGTTGAAGAATAATTTAGAACGGAAATACTTGTCAAAGAAACATATATAACTGACAAATTATTGTGCACAGAGAAAAAATGAAAGCTACAGAAATTGTTCATTAAAAGATAATGAACAAAATATTCACCTAAATTTGACTGCAGTGCAGGCCCCAGTGGATTGTCAGAAAGCAGCAGGCAATCCAATGTGTCAATTCTAGAAGCCTCCAGACAATTGTTATCAGCTAGTGATCTACCGCACTTGGGTTTCCATCGGGATTCAAGAGGTTCTGACAAATCATTGGGCCCTATTACCTCAATCCCAACAGGCCGAATGAGTTGGTGACCACTCCAGTTGGTCAGATCAGGGCAAGAACAATGGAAAAGACCTGGGAACATAAGTAGTGTGGGCTCAGCAGGCCCAGAGGCAAGCTGCAGCTTGGTGGAAGGTGGCGTTGCTGAGGGTACGTTACGTGTCTCTTGGGAGATAGCCCTTAATTGCTAAGGGGGCCCTCAGGCGGTCACAGAGTGATCAATCAGGAAGCCAGCAGCAGTAGACATGACCCTTGGGCATGGTCTTCAATGAGCCATTTAAGGTCCTCAATTGACTTTTGTTTGGCAAGACCTCCCTCATCTTTCCTCCCTTCTAACTTAATTCACAGGAATTCAGGAAGGCACATACCCTCCAACTCTGCCTTCAATTCCAATTTGATGGCTTACTTGCCTTCCAGTTCCCTCAAGCACCAGATTAAGTTGATATGAAAAATGTGTTTGTTGAGTTAGCCTGGTCCAATGGCTAAAATTCTCTGGCTTTCTTTCAACTACACAAAAACTATTCCAGATTGAACGTTTGTATGCGTGATGCTCTGTAATTAAGAATCATATTTTCACAATGATGAAGTGGTGTCATCATTGCATGCTAAAGAAAAGCTTTCATTAACTTACTTCAACTCTGGGCATTGATTTTAGCCAATACTGCTCTTTGATTTCAAGTTTAAGGGTTTCTAAATGAATTCAGATTCTCAATGGCAAAGCTCTCAATAAGGTAGCTCAGTGGTTAGCACAGCTGCCTCACAGTGCCAGGGACCTGGGTTCAATTCCACCCTCGGGCGACTGTCTGTGTGGGGTTTGCACATTCTCCCTGTGTCTGTGTGGGTTTCCCCTGGGTGCTCCGGTTTCCTCCCACAGTCCAAATATGTGCAGGCTAGGTGGATTGGCCATGCTAAATTGCCCACGGTGTTCAGGAATGTGTAGATTAGGTGGGATATGCGGGATGGGTCTGAATTGGATGCTTTGGGGGTCAATGTGAACTTTTTGGGCTGAAGGGCCTGTTTCCACACTGTAGGGATTTTATAATCCATAATCTTCTGTAAAAAATGCCAAATCATCATTGAAATCCCCATGGTTTACAAGAAACAAAAATAGAAATTGCTGGAAAAGCTCAGCAGGTCTGGCAGCATCTGTGAAGAGAAATCAGTTAACTTTTCAGTTCAAGTGACCCTTCCTCACAAATCTGCTCCATTACAAATTGGGACAATAGACTGTAAGAATAAATTTCTGTAATGTCACTGAAACAGTATTTTGTGATAGTACCTCAGCAGAAATCTTGCACAAAATAACTGCTCCTAGACTGCCTTGGCCAGCGGTTTCAGATCACGAAATTAAGTGATTAGAGTAAAGAGAATTTGTTCAGTGTATGTATGCCTCTGATCAGAACACTGCTGCCTCTTAATCACAGGTAGTGACGTGTATGAATAGTTGCGAACATTCAAGTAAACAAGTCCTCAAGGGATATAAAAAGGAAGACTCCAAATATTGTTCTGTGTTAATACAAACTCATTTTTGATAGAGGAAGGTGTATCGTAGATGAGGAACAGGCTGGAATAATTTGTACACTACACACATTCAAGGTGTACAAAACTGAAGTATTACTTTACGATTCTGAGCAGAGAATTATTTTAAGAGGATAGAACAAGACAAAATGTGTTTTATAGCATATGAGTAAACTGGAGTTACCACTGAACAATCCTCCACACATTTTGTAATCTCTTGACTAACATTCTACTCTAACATACAAAATACTTAATTACGATAGTGCATTATGAGGGATGCTGTGTTACACCTCGTTCCTTATTTTCACCTCAGAAATAGAACAATATAATTAAAATAAATAGATAATACCCATTTTTGCACCATGTACAACAAAATGGACTGGCACTTGCTGGACTGGGTCATCTTGTAGCTTACACTGCTAGTTTGTTTTCGGCTCTCTGCAGCTTAAAAATGTTTACACTATAACTTGCTGGAAACTAAAGGTGACAGTGTGACAAAAGCAAATGGACAAGTAGGTCCTTAGTCAAGTTAGTGAAATATAGGACCAACAGTCCATCTCGACAACCAGTTAGATGCAAGACCAGAAAAGGAACAAACGAATGATGGAGAAGGAAAATGTATTAGAATCAAATAAGATACAATAGAAGAAATAAAAAAATGAAAATTTAAATTCGATTAAGATATAGAGAGAACTGACATGAAGGAAAAGTAGCTTTTTAAAAAAAAAATGTTTAAGATCTTTTCCTAATAATTTGGTATAAGGAGGAATTTGATTGAATGCTTTAATCTCTTTCTGGTTGATTTAGCATTACACTTACAGTTATCACATGGTTAAAAAGGTGCTTTTGTTGTTCTGTTCCAATCACAACTTTTCATGGCAAATTTAATGTGTAATTATTGTGCATACATAGCAAGGTTTTAGTAATAACAGAGGTTAAGGGAGCAGTGTAAATTAAGCTACAGGTCTGGAGAATCACAACTCACAATAAAATCTCTTATTTCTCTAAACCTGGCGGCCAATTGGCAAAATAATAACAGCATGTGTTGCTACCAAACTATTACTTTTCCAGCGAGATCCGGCCCAATATCTTTATTAGTCTAAGGTGGACAGAGCATTCAACTTTATTTAGACTATAATTTCCATACTGTTTCAGTAAAAGTCATATTGTACATCTCACATACTTCAAGTCTAAGGATGCTAGGTTGTTTTACTTGTGTTTTCTGTTTTTAATAAAACAAATTTGTAGAAGTATTTTGTGACCTTTCTTTGACTACAGAGAAGCAGGACTTTAACCTTTGCTGAAGCCTAGGGCTGTTTAATGCAGAGCATTAGGGAAAAAGCCATATTTTTTTCCCTTTTAAGCTTTGTTAGTGTGCTTAGGAAAACAAACACCCTTCTGAAAAATTTAAATTTATGCATAAATGATTTAAAAAGTCAAAAATAAAACAATCTTTTAGAAAATATAATAAGTGTGAGATATGTAATACATGTGTAAATAAAAGATAGTAAAATAAAAAAAAAAATCTGTTCTGGAAGCTTGTCTCCACATGCAATGTTACCTGTTTCAGTAGTTTGCTGTTTTTAATGTTCAGATTACCATCTATTTATTCCACATCCACAATGAAAAGAAGCAGGTGGCTGGGATGCCCAACAGACACAATTCCCATTGTTCCTGGCCTTAGCTTTGAAAGTACAATTTAATAAAATTGGTTGTGAAAACTCATCTCTTTTTTATTTTCAAGTTTGAGGAAAGAAAATTACCAGATCAGCTGAAGTGAAAGAAGAGTTCGATAAAGCAACATATGACCATCCATATAAAACTTGATTCCCTTTCCTTTTTCAGGAGTAGGTTATGATGTGGCCAAGGTGGGATTGACGGTACCTTGATTCCCTGGATATTTCACTTCAATGGCATAACTTACACAGCTTTTGGGTTTTACATTTTTGCCTCCCTCAGATGCTGGCTTTATGTGCAAAGAGAAACCAAAGGTGAACATTGTGCTTCTCTCAACTGGGAGAGGTAAGGATGTAGAGTCTGAATTCAACAGAAAAGCGTCATTCAGTATCAAAGTTTTAAGAATTGGTTCAAATCAAAACAAAGACATATCGGAGCATCCATCCCCCATGTGGTTCCTTTCTCTGATCTCAACCCTCCGTGTAAATGGAAGACAGCTGGCTGGGACAACGGTCGATTGCATTAATCTGGAGAAAGCTACTGTCCTCAGGACAATTGCGTACAGAGTCACCAAAAATCCCAGGGGAAGTTGCTTGAAAGTCATAAGCTGTAAATTTAAAAAGAAAATTGTTAATGTTTTGTATCGAATAACAGCATGCTAATTCCAAATTAAACCAAGGATCTTCAGCTTCAAGTAAATCCCAGCATAGATATTAGTCAGGAGGTTTGGTAAAATTAAAAATGTCAAATAGGCCCCAAAACACAAGAAGTTGGATTTTCATGCCTTCATCTATGTTGAAATAGAGGTGGGGTAGTGAAAACCCACCGTAGGTCAGACCCAATTCTCTGATCCCTGCCCCCATTCCCATCACCGACAAATGTTAAACAACGTCGGATAATGGTGCAAATAGCAAAGCCATATATAACAGTCTCAACCTTGCCAGGTCCATAGCAGAGGAGATATTCTGACACCTCATAATTCAGATGGAGTCAGTTTGGCTTCTGAAGGTGATTGACACCAGCTCAGAGACGACATGAACCATGCGGAGGCGGTCCCTATTTTGGAGTCAGGAACTATTTGAAAGATAAGTTCAAAAGGGGTTGTCTACTTCATGTGTCATAATGAAATGCTGAATGAAAAGTTAAGTACATTTTTAATGCAACGATTGATAAAATGGCTTTCTTCTTAAAAGGAAGTGACTGCTAAATCAAGTCTTCAGCAACATGAGAGTACCTTATACATTTGATAAATTGCTCTTCTGCATTGAATGTCAGATTTTATTCAGATTTGACTGTTAGTAATTGTCCCCTGCAATTTAATCTTTTCATTGAGTGACAGCTTAGAAATCTGTTTCCCTGTTTCAAAGCCCGAATAGATGGCTGAGATATTTCAATGATTTCAGAGGCTTTAATATATTCAGCTCTTGATATTTTGTTGACACAGTTGTGCAATGGAATCTCATTATGAGTACTTGGTTGAATTTCAAACCTGAAAATAGTTTCAGCTCAGTGAAAAGTGATGATACAATTGAAAGGGAATTCAGAATTTATTTTGACATGTTTATGACTACAAAAATAGCATAACACATTTGAACAGTTGTTTTCGAATGACTGATCATTTATTTGAAGTTTTGTGAGGATTTCAAAGACTTCCCTGATGTTATTCTAGGGCCAAGGAATTCAGAACATAGTGGATGAATGGGCAAGGGACACTGATGGGATATGGGTTGGGTGGTGAGATGTGGAGAATAGGGGAGTGTGCTGGACGGTGATGGAAGTAAGAAAATAAGAGTTAAGAGGCTTTATATTAATTTATAAAACAGAGCTAGAGTCCCAGTAAATGAAGGTGCACCTTCCAATTAACCCAATTTGGAACCTTTATTCCATTCTCAGGCCTCTTTCTGGAGGAAACAGCCTTGACTTCAGATTGTATATGCCAACACACCAGGCAAATAGTAGACAATGCAGACCAAGGGGCACGTTTGTGTCATCAGTAATTGGTCGAAGTCATAACTCCCACTTTGAAGATGAAAATCCAGCCCCAGATCCACACTTTGACACCTTCTAATCTTCCTGGCTCCCAGTGTGGGGTGAAGGCAGGGAAATCCAATGTCAGAGCTATGGCCCCAGCACTCCTCGTCACCACTGATCTGTAGCAGTCTCAGCACAGTGATTACACCTGGTGTAGGATTGATGCCCAGTATCATGTTTTATTGTTTCAAGCTCCAAGAAATATAAAGAGGTAAGCTTTCAGTTGTCTTCAAAAGTTGTTCCTTGCTGGTCTTGTTTACAAGCAACACTATTTTTCTTGCATTCCTCCCACCACCATCACTCTCTCCAGCTCAGGTGAGTGTGCAAACTTTCTCCTGCTCTGTACAGGTGATCCTGCCCTGACCATGGCTATCCCAGTACTTCTGGTCTTTAAAACTGTTTGCTTCTGCATGTTCAGTGATACAGTACCACATTGAGCTCAGAAATTTTGCCAATTAAATGCAACTATCTACAATTTCAGTTGGTGTGCATCAACGCTTTGCTAGTTTCTAGCAACCTATTGTAAATCTGTAAGGCACAGAACCATGGAACAATTCTTATTTTAAAAATAGCTAGCTAGAAATTAAAATTTAAAATTTTTTTAAAATAATACTGAAAATTGCGACAATCGGAAATAAAACAGAAAGTGCTTAAAATATATAATAGGTCAGTTAGCACTGGAAAAACCAAAAGATAATTTAATACCTAGGATGGATATCCTTGGTTAGAACTGGAGAATAGAAGATATGCATTTTCCTTTAGCAGCCTGGACAACAAACAAGCCTAGAAAACGAAGAATACTGCTTTCTGTTGTACATTTTTTGGTTATTATTACAAGACAGAAACAGGTCATTTATCCAACAAGTCTATTCTTGTTTTTATACTCCATACAAATCTCCTCCCATTTCATTTTCCTCATCTGAGCTTTTCAGCATATCTTTCGATTCCCCTTTCTCACATGTACATATCTAGTTTCTTTTTGAATTCACCCAGAGTCTTTCAGATGAAATGTTGAACTGAGGTACCATCAGTCTGGTTGGATGGATGCAAAATATCCCATGGCACTATTTTGAAGAAGAGCAGGGGATTTATTCCATTGAGCTGGCCAATATTCATCTCTCAATCAACACCATACAACACAGATTAGCACATTGTTGTTTGTGGGAGTTAGCTGAGATCAAATTCGCAGCTGTATTTTCTACATTACCTCAGTAACTGAACTTCAAAAAATGCTTCATTGTCTCAAAAACACTTTGAGACAACCACTGGTTACGAAAATACCTTTACGAGTGCAATAATTTCTTCTGCTGTTCTAAAAAGGTGGCACGGTTGCTCAGGCAGCTCACTGCTGCCTCACAATACCAGGTACCTATGTTCGATTTAACCCTCAGGTGACTGTCTGTGTGGAGTTTGCATGTTCTCCCCGTGTCTGCATGGATTTCCTCCAGGTGCTAAATTGCCCATAGTGTCCAGGGATGTGTAGGTTAAATGGATTAGCTATGGGAAATGTAGGGTTACAGCGAATTGGTAAGGAGTGCATCTGGGTGGCTAGCTCTTAGGAGGGTTGGTGTGGACTCGATGGTCTGAATGGCCTACTTCCACACTCTTAAGGATTCAATGATAAGATCCTTGCTTCAACTACTTTCTGTGTTTGCAAGTTTCACATTCTAACTTGGACATTCTCTGAGTATAGCAATTTCTCCTTATTTCATAATTGGAGACATTCAGTAGTTCCTATGTTCTATTTTGAATTTAGTGCCCCTAGTTTTGAAGCACCCACAAACAGAAACATCCTCTCCTCATCAGTGCTGTCCAGTCCACACGTTATTTTTGAAGAGCTCTACCAGACCATCTCACTTTGTTAAAGAAACACCAGTGAGAATCCCATTTCAATGTTCAACACTTGGTCTTTTTGCTCTTGACAATAGGAAACTACTCACTGCCCAACTGATTCTTCCAACTTTCTCACCAATACCCTTGGCATCCAGGGGCTGGGAAGAATCTGAATGTAATTTCTCGGGTTTAGTTAGGTCTGATACTTTGATGTGTGTTCCCCAATGTTTCCACACCCTTTTTATGGTATGGTTGAGAACTATGCACAATTTTCTAAGTGTGGCTGAGCATAGGCCTTTGTAAGTTTATCCAACCTCACTACTTCTCTATTGAATACCTGTTGAAAACAAATCCCATGATTTAAAGCATTTTTGTTTGCTTTGGTAACTCCTGACACTGTTTTTAGTGATTTTTACACAGGATAGTCCAGGCCCCTTTGCCCTTCTTCTTCATTTCTTTTACTTTATAGCTGCTGAAGATTTAATTGTTGCTTCTCTTCTGTTGTGTGGTTTTATGCCAACTTCTAAGAGTTTGGGTTCAAGACAGATTGGGGGAGGACAAGGCAAAGTCAAGAACTGTCTTCACGCTGAGACTTCTTGAGAATTCAGTTTTTTGTATGTTAATAGTAGTTACCAATATACATGATAATCTGAGATTTACCAGGCTCTAATCTTATTACAACATTGTTCGCAGACTATTCCCTTAATTCTATTTATCTTCCATCTCACTTCCCTCTTCCACTCTAACTCCACTCACAGTGTACTATTTATGTCCAGTGGGGTGCAGCTTTGTAACATGATCACAAATTTCCTCCAGGGTCCCAAAGCCCTCACAGAACAGCTCCTGCTTGTTCCAAACAAAGTGTATCAACTCTAGGCCTGAAACGTCAGCCTTCCTGCTCCTCTGATGCTGCTTGGCCTGCTGTGTTCATCCAGCTCTACACCTTGTTATCTCAACTCAGATTAATCTGTGTTAAAGTTCCTTTTCTATGTAATTGCCCAGTCTGCATATTTTCAAATGTCTTTTTCTTATGTGTTATGGTATAGTTTGACCAGTGCAGTTTCCATGAGATGCAATATGCAGTACCATATTCCCACAGGAGCCTACATGCAACAGAATTCATTGATCGCTTTCATCTGGAAAATACACTGCAGTGAAACATCACATACATGTCACACGGACTTCGGCCAGGTTAGTCATATTGCCTGGAAATCCACTGCTCAGTCACTACAACTCAATTTTACTCTCCTTTGACCATTCGGAGGTCAGCTTTTTGTTCACCCTTTTTGATTGTTCCTTCTCTGGCTCGGTGTCTATTTTGCACACATCTACCTGAGTTACAATGGGATTAGTTTTGACTTTAAGAGTGTAGTCTTTCTAATTGCCTCTTTTGGTACCCTGACATTGAATCCGAATGCTTCATATTGACAGCCACTAATTTCGGTGAAAAAAAGTGAAATGTCCTTGTGAAACAATGATAACATGATCTGGCAGCATCTGTGGAGAGAAAGCAGAGTTAACATTTTGAACTCAATGACCTTTCTTCAGACCTGCTGAGTTTCTGCAGCAATTTCTGTTTTTGTTTCAGGATCTTCAGCACTTGCAGTTCATTGTTTTATTATATTGACAACCTGATACTGGGCTGTCAACTTAAAAAGCTGACTTTTAGCGTGTGTGCTGAAGCTGCCATTGGTAAAGTATTGCATTAGGAATCTCCAGCTAATACCTCGAAGAATAATTTCC